ATAGCTGCCACGGTGGTCACGCCGACTACGACGTTGCCGCAAGAGACAATCAAGTACATCTAACAGGAGCAACGCTCCATTAATATTGGTGGCCCTGGTACCATCTGCCATAAGGGCACAAAGACAAGTCGTGAGGCGATGTGAAGCATCGGTCACGGCAAATAACAGGACGGTCGTTACCTCTGGGGTCCTCGACGTGCGTACGCCTCCGCCTCTCGCGGCGCCGCCCATACTCGTGTGTACGTTCATCCGGACATCCTATGGGACATGTGCGCAACGCATAGCAGCGCGAGGTTAATAACGTGCAACATGGCTCCCACAAGTGGCAGCACGCAGTCAAGCAATTCATGTTGTTTGGTACTCACCTGTCTGTGACCGGACGTGCCTCGTAGGAGTAGCGGCGCTAGACACGAAAGTACCCGGGACCCTGTACGCCGAGCTAGACCTGGACGGGTTTGGAGGGTCTGACTCTCCCGTCTAAACGGGCACATTATTGGCGTCGCCCCTGTTGCCAGGGTTAGAAGTCGAAGAGATAATTCACGCGGGTAGAACCTCCGCGTGAATCGGCCGGTTGATCTTCGTGCTCCGCACCCGCGGCTATTTCCTCAATCTGCATCCTCTCCCAGCTACTAGGTACCGAGTGTGCAGCATCTACATTCCCCCCTGCTGATATCGTGGGCTGTTCGTGGTTTACAGGTCCCGTGATTGACTGCGTAGCCCCCGCGACTCCATCCTCCGTTTCATCATCAGATGAGTCTACCACCGGCTGTCGGCCATTACTAGTGTGTGGCTCGGGTGTAACAGTCACAATGACGGTTTTATCTTGACTTATGTCGGCACCCGCGTTTATATCACCACACGCTGGCGTTCCCTGCATACGAGTTCCATCTCGATCAAAGCTACCACCCAGTAGCTTGTTTATGTGACGCGCCGCTACCTCTGTGTCGTTGCTGCTAGGGGAGGCCATAACGGGAATAAGGTTAGGGTTTGAACGAATAGCCACACAGTGCTAAATGACTCCTTGTATCGCCATTGTTCGAAGCCACTTCGGAAACCATTTCCCTCAGCGATATCGCCGCCAAAATCTCGCCGTTCGACGTTGTACACCCAATTGATTTACGGTGTGTGTTACACGACATGTACAAAGAAGCTCGATAGCGTGAACGGCCCTGAAAACTCTAAAGGTTTGATGTTTACATGATACATCAAATCTCAAACTAGCGACATCTGCAAGTATTTTAACATTTCGACGGCACAGTCTAATCCCGTTCCGTAACAAACTATGCCCACACGCCGATAAGTCAAAAGGTTCTGTCTACCGGTTGGCGTTATACTTTACTAGGCGAACGTAGGCACAATCAATAGTCTTGGATGAGGTGCCCGTCATGGACTCTTCTTGCATGGGCTTAGTAGATACCTTGGACCACCAAGGTATCATTCCCAGAGCACGACTGAGATCCCCGATGCGCACTCCTTCGTCCATGTCCTTCAACACCTTGGGCCTGTGCACCTGAAACATGCTTCATCTGGGTTTAGCATAGGATATGCAGGCACCACAACACACACCGTCCTTTGTAAGGGCATCAACGGAACAAAGTATACGTCTTACAATGGATGAGGTGCCACATCCCGTGCATATGTCTCTTGAGTGAGGTGCCGAAATCCTGGACCCATCGGACCGATGTCTCTCCTCCTGCACACCAGATAAACGTCCCACACCTTTAATGGCCATCGGAAACACACCCAGTCGGCACGCCAACGATCCTCACCTCATATCCCATCGCCCTTGCCTCGGCCATTAGAACAACTCTGTAGTCAAATGTCGGTAACTCCAGCAGTATGACATCCTCGAGGCTTGTTGCGCTGTGATTTACGAGTCTGTAATCCGCTATTGACGTCATAAACCGGCGACCTTTGGCACGTGTAATGCTCGACTCCGACTCGTCCGGATACGTGGCGTATATGAGCCTCAGGTACATGAACGGTGTGGGTGCATCGGGTGTTATTGCAAGAGACGCACGGGCTTCTGAAATCGCACGCGCCCTGTGCTGTCTAGGACTGCGCCTTCCACTACCCAAGAATGGGTCCAGAGACCTAAGAATCGTGGCCGCGCTAAGGGTCTGACCTCATTGTGACATTATGGCACCCTGCACCTGCATTATGGCGTAGGCTATAGTGGGCTTAGACCGTATGAAATAACCCCGGGTGTTGCGCCGACGAGGCTCCAGCACGTCATGCGCTTTACTACGCGTTGCGCTCATCATGCCACTACCAACTGAAATCAGAAACATTAGGCGGACGTTAGGGTTTTGTAAGTGTCCGTCCTACGGAAATCGAGGAACGGGCTGGTGGGACGATTGGAAGCGGTGTGGAATGGTTTGTGGAGTGTTGGCACGCTTTCATGGTCAACTGGGTGTACCAAGCACAAAGTGCAAAATTACTTCGCGCGTTCTTCAGTATGTGCCATATCGGGGAGGTGAACATTTTACTCGCTCTCGGATTGAGCGTGGAATGTGCTATATCCCCAACGTGAACAATCTCGTTACGAACACAATGATTGACAATGTGCGTATTATTCGACAAATACAACGGTTACTGAGATCAATAGGGCTCATCAGTTACTACATCCCATACTCAATATCCCCATGCACGCTAGACAGGGATGCTGTTGGGGAGTTGAAGCATATCTCCTCGCTGGCCGTGGAAGACATGGACGAGGAAGGCGCGTATGAATGCCTCCTAACCTTCTTCTCTGGTGTGCGCACCAGACGGTCAACGAGGTCCGGGTTCCCCAAGCGCTTAAGCGTGACGACGACACTTGGAGCTACTCCCGTCGCGCTAGCAAGCCTTGTGTACGCATCAGATGCCATACGCATGAACCGGCAGCGAGTCCTGTCGTCCCATTTGACGCGGCCGACACAGCTTGAATCATCAATCCGACGGATGATCGGCTCTGGAAAACGTTCGGCCGTATCCTCGTCCATGGTTTCATCCCAAGTTGCGTAGTCCAATGCATCCATCACGCAGTCGGGGATGTCCAACTGGTCCAGCCTCCTTTGCAGACCCGTGAGGCTAACGATGAGCTGCTCCACAACCTCGACATGCAGGTCGCGGTTGATCGCCTGAAGCCGAGGCAGCCACTCGTCCGGGACGCACCCAGTGCGCCAAAACGCGAGCTGAATGTGAGATGTCGCCACCCCCCACAGTGCCTGGAATGTCCACTGCAACGTGTTTGCGGCCGATGGAGAGTTGCTGGTCCACACCCAAGCTGGAGGCACGCGCCTCATGAAGCGAGTCTGGTGGTCCACCCACATTGTACGGAATTCGGACTTGAAGAATGTGACAATGCCCTGCACGACGGGGTTCCCCACGTCTGGTACAACATCATGAAGCTGCACAATGCGAGTATGGGTTAGGTGGTGCACCATGAAGGGCCCACTCGGCTCTCGCTTGCCCTCTCCCCAAGTGAGCTTGTGCCTACGCGAGGACACAAGGACGACGATGTCACGGTCCTCTGCAAATTTCGCAGCGTTGAGGCCTAGCATGAACTGCGTGAAAAGTTGCACGTAACAACATAGAGTATCACAAAGACATATCTTTAGCACCAATGTATTGAGTCCATATATAGGAGACATTTTTGCGTGTCATCTCTAGTACAATTGGCCATTACCTGGGGGGTTATGCGGCCGGACCGAGTTCGGCGTATATATGCCCACTGGTCGCCGCTGACATCGTGGCCCAGCCTCAGTGGCTCCCGGTCGGCGCTCACTACAATGGGCCTGAAGCGATGCGCGCCGTTTGCGGAATAGAGAAGGCCGATAGACAGCCTCTTCATATCACTCCCATTGCGACCGACGAACGGATGCAGGTATGGCTGCAGAGCAGGTAGGAGAGGAACCTCTACAAATATGTAGACGTTGCTGGGAGGTGCGCCAAGGCGCGACAAGAGATCCTTTAGAGCGGCCATGGAAGTAATGTGGCGTCTGCTACAAATGGCGGCATATGATATAACCGGTAGGATTGGGGAGTACAGCGTCCAATGTACCTGCTAATTGACAATGAGTGAGTCTAGCGTGAGAAAAACATCGGCGCAAGCTGGCCACTCCCTCTTTGCCCTGACAGGCGTGGATTGGCCACAGAAGCTAGTGATTGCGCAATGATGTGGGTACACCTCAAAGGCTACCATGGTTGTGCACTCTTTAAACCACATGTTTGTGCCCTGAAAGCTAATCTGTTAGTGACATTTCCGTACCCTGTACAGTATATGCCCGGGTCAGTTGGGGTTCCGAGATAGTGTGCGCATGAATGCGTACGTCGGTACACTGTTACATTGCATGGTATAGTTATACTGTTTAGGAACTATCACGCCGCATCGCCCTAAACATCAATATACATCATTTAATTTGGATGCTCCAGTCATCGTCGATACGTTCAGTGTTCGACAATAGTTCAATGGTGTAACTGAAACGAAGTCGAAATAAACCCATCCGCGTCAAGGTGAGTGGCCGAAATGTTACGTCGCTGTTAATCGCATTTGGCTATGTTCATAACGGGACATATGTCGTCCCGATAATGGCTGCACAATTGAGTTTATAAAGGTTCCGCGTAGTATCGGCTGTGCATGCTGACGACGGTACAGTAATCTCGACTCAATTGCACTGTGACAAGTGTCAAATATGGCTGGAACCCGCTGCCAATCACGAACCGCCATGGTGGTATCCACATTCTACAATCTCCTCTGTCCCCGAGTCTCCATCGTCTGAGCAAATCAGATGTTTATCCCCGAAGATGCCTGGTGGAGTGTATAAACGCAACAATCACACTACAGCCCGACAGTTTAGTTCTTGCCACACTAGGGTTTCGGCCTTTCTCATGAAGTCGCCATGGTACCGCGAACCAAAGCCCAGGCCTCTAAACGAGGCCTCCATAGTCCACAAGCCATGACATCGCGTAGGCCACCGGCAGCGCCGCGACGGGATAACACCACGATCCCGGAATCGATGAGCAACAAGCGGCTGTGCTCGCGTGAACTCCAGCAGGGGGATACGAATACCGAGGCCGCAGTGGCCACGTCGGTTTCAGCATGGGGCTCGCGGCTGCCATGCGTCAAAGATGAGCCCGCGCCGAATGACGCGCTGACTGCTCTACTAACCGCACCATCTTCAACGACCTTTAAGATGGTGTCTCTGTATAACCACATGGGTGTGGGCAGTCAAGTGACTGCGCACGACGCATTGACGCTCGCCGACAAGGAATATCTGGGGGACGCGGTCGTCGATTTCCATAACATGTACGTTTTTGGTTGGCGATACTCCTCTAGGTCGCTTTGTCGCCACCTATGGTATGCCGACTTTAACGTTTAAAAATTTTATCGTGCGTTATGCCTTCGCACCCGTGCAGCCTCCTGAACATCAGGTACCCAAGGTGTCCGAACGGGAAATCATGGGTGGCCCTTGACAGCAAGGCGTATGCGTATGCCAAGCTTCACAAGAAGCCGATTGGGAGGTGCACAGGCCCGTCTGTGTTCGAGTATGATTACATCGCCGTTCCGGTATATGGCGGGTAAGTACGTCTTTTGCAAGCCGCTGTAATAAGCCCGTCTGTTGCCCCAGCCTAACAAAGGCCCATCAATTGTGCAGGAAACACTATTCTTTGATGGTGGTAACCAACCCGAGCGGGATTGTAAGCCAGACGGCCGCACCTGTGGAGTTCATTCTGTTCGATAGTGATGACCTCCACGCCAAGACTACTGATGCCTTTGACGGGACTAAAGCGTGAGACTCGCTATATATCACCGTGCAACCCCCTTTCAGCGGTGACGTCCTGCGACCTCATCTGACCTGATGGCTATATCTTCGTGTAGGTTATTGCACCTCATGTGCAAACGCGATCATCCGGAGGTGGACCAGGAGGCGTCTAGGCAAGCGCTCATCAAGGCAGAAACGATAATCATGGAGGTGAGATGCTGCAAAGACAGTATGGCTCATTCTATCCCACTTGCCTTCTAATACGGGAGCGCGTTCTGATGAACGGAAACATGGTGTCTCGATGGTGCGCAGGGTGACCAGATCCCCAAACAACCTAACAGCTGGGAGTGCGGAGTGTACATGTGCCAGTATCTCGAAGCACTGGTGACAGTACCGCCACAAGATTCCCGTGGGGATCTTTGTTCTCATGCCGAGGGGATGCTGATTCCCGAGCTGCAGCGCCAGGGTCTCCGCATACCTCTGCAGCCTGTTCCCATTATCGACGACAACGGATACATCTGCGTCGACCCTCCCGTGGACATCCGAAGAGAGCTGCTAGACCACAAGGAGAAGTTGGCTGTGATTGAGCACGACATACAGGTTCTGACGGCCAAGATCGAGTATCTGGCCATCCGCAAAGGCGTTACGTCGGACGAGCTGGACGCAGGGGCGCGCCAACACCTTGGTGCCGTGGTGGACACGCGGGTAGAGTCGGCGACTCCACGCAAGCACGCTAAAGCAGACCCTACCGCGGACAGAAGTGGCCCAATGGAAGTCGCGTAGACTCCACCGACGCGTGCACTGGCGGCAGTGCCATCAATCTCTCCCTGTCTTGCACCTCACACACCTGCCGTGAAAGATAGCCAAGTTACTGCCGGAGACGCGACACCTGCTGTGGTCGGGCAACAACAGCGCGACCATCTTGCAGTAGCTTTGCGCAGCCGCGCTAAGACTCCCGTGCCCGCAGCTCCAGGTAACCCCGGAAGGGTCGCAAGCAGCGGCCGAACGGGAGTTATATGGAACGCAGAGAAGCAGAGGTACTACGTCCGGATCATATCTGCTCGCCGTCAGCAGGTTCGTCTGGGGTCGTACGAGGACAAGGACGAGGCGTCATATGCGTATGCTGCGGGAGCCGTTCTACTTCGCCCGAACTCACGCATCAGCTGCAGGTTGAGTTGTCTGACGGTGACAAGCAGGCTTTAGCCGGCTGCACAGAGGAGATCCTAAGGCTACTCGTGAAGTACAGGCGCTGGAACAGATGGAGGGAGTGGAGAGCCGCAATGGCTGGCCTGGACGACGCGCAGCCGGTCGAGACCCGTTCGCGGCGAAAGGGCAGAGTGTCCCGGGCCATTAGTGACGTTGAGGAGGTGGAGGCGATCACGCAGACTACAGAGGACCAGCCTATGGCTGAAGAGCCAGAGGACCGAACAGAGGACTACACGGATGACGATGAGTCCGTTGACGATGATGCTGTGTATCAACCTGGAAACGATACTTTCGACAAAGATGATGGATGGGAGGATGTCAACCGTGCACAGGGTGTTGCATGAAGCACTAAACAGGGTGGCCATTGGACCAAGGGTTGTTCTAGTTGTGTGCTCATACTGATAGGACTTAGACCTGGTGGCGGGTAGCCGAATCTGGAAATGTAAGCATCGCATCTACCACGGTTTTGAATTGTCCATATCTAGGAGATATAAATACATGACAAAGAACTCTTAAACGATGCACATCTTGAAACTGTAACCACGGTTGGGGGTAGTAGCAAATGGTGAAAAAAGTTGGTGTATAATTGGAGTAACGCATCTGACTTAAACGTGGACGAGCATCGACGATGTGACAATCCTGGCACGGCGACATGTTACATGTGGAAAGTGTGGCTGACAATTGTCTGTAATCAAACTGGCCACTCTAACCGTGACATGTGTAGAATTGTGCGCGTGGCCAAGAGCGTGAGGCAACTAGTGCGGTGACAAACTCCATTATCGAGCATTGCGATGTACACGAGAGTGGTAAGGGGACTGTTGCGAGCGAGGGTAGAGGGGTGGTTTAGAGCCACGCCATTTCGAACCCGCTGTGTATGCGGTCAGAGATGCTGACTCCGCTAGAGGTCGATATGACTCCCACCGACGGCGGTCGTTCCAAGCGGGCGAAGACTGCGCCGTCATGGTTAGCTGATTCATATGAATACGGTGAGCGGAAGAAGAAAGGACAGCCCCTAGCGGAACCCAAGAGGCGTAAAACAAGCACAGGAAAATGTGGCGCGGCGGATAAGAACGCGGGGCATGACGAAGGTAACATTTGTGACGTGACAAGTACGTTGCATTTCATGTACCAGTGCTGATGCTTGTCTGTGGTGATATATGCCGTATGCGCACGCAAACTACACACCCTTCTACCTACCACGCAACTGGTCACAGAGACTCGAGAAGTGCCGCTGCAGATATGCAGCGCCAACGCTGTCGGGGCCGTCGACGCGGAGGCAGCCTGCACGCCCATTGTCGCCAACGCACCGCAAGGGGAGGAGGACACCGAGGCCGTGAAGGAACGCCTGATAGACAAGTTAATGGAAGGCGAAGATGAGGACGACGAGGAAGGAAACGGTGGTGGTCAGTCGTCAAGCAACGATCCGTGTGGCGAGAACGGATCAGAGGAGGAGCAGGCCACAAAAGCGCCATATTCGAGGAAGCGGATAGATGCAGCCGATGGCCAAGTCACACGCGAGGAATATGATGCGTTGCGTGATTCCCAGAATGATACCGCGAAGACACTGGCTCGTCTTGAGTCACACGTACTGACCATCATCCGCCTTGGCGATCGGCGTAAGCGCAAGCGGGCGTCCACAAGTGCCGCATCTTCGCTCGGCCGGGAAGCTTTGAAGCGGAAACGCCAGTCAGATGATGACAAAGAATCTACGTGGCACGGCACGCGCGTCACGACAAGTCGCCAGTGCTCCAAACCGCTCTTGACATCCTTCCAGCGGAGAAGGCTTGGAAGGTGAGGCCTCGCATAGTGTGTTCTGCTCACGTCGAGGCACAGTTGTTGGATACACTACATATGTCGTCACTGTTCCCCCCCCCCCCCCCCCCCCCGTACAACTATTTTCAATGTCGCAGGGTGTTTGCGACATGGTTAAGGATTATCTGTTTGTAGAAGCCCCGAACGAGAAGATGGACTTCTATCCGAGTCGCGACGCCAAAAACGCAGCCTATGCCATGTCGTGTCCACCATTTCTCCCAAAACTGCGACTCTGGCGTTAGACGCTGATAAGGCTTGACGGCATGATCTAAACAAGACCTTGTCCGAGTACAAAACAGGGTTGGCCGGACGCGCTCACGGAGTTTTTCTTCCACGAATTGGTCTTTTCCGTGACGACGAGGACAGGGCCAGTCCTTGGGCACGTAAGACGGAGCGCACTGGGGAGCGTGCCCGAAAGAGATATTGCGTCCCCGTCCTTGACGATGGTGCGTGTTCGCTTGTCATATGGCCGGAGCGATTATGGCCGCAACTCCTGTGTCGTGCCATAGTGGACCAGACATGTCTTTGAACCCTCCCCTTTTTCCGTACGCGGTATCGTTGTACCCATTTTGCATTCCACGTGCGCAGGGGACCCGACCTTGTGCAAGTGGCACATCAGCAAGGATGGACTGCCATTTGCATCCGGAGCGTTCGCGGCATGTGCCATCGCGGCTTTCGGAGGGAAGCGGAAGGACAAAGAAACAACTATAAAGCTGTACCACCTCTCGTGGCTCGAGCACCTTGTACGTTTACACCGATGCGAGCATATGTTGTAGCCACTTTCCTTCAACTCGCCGTTGTAGATGGGCTTCTCCTGACTTCGCAGATCACGGACGCCATTATCAACTGGGAGAAGTGCAAGGGGAAACTGCACAACTCTCCGTGCGAGAATGGCGCTTCTGTGCGGAGGATTCAGAAGCTGGCCTTCTGTGAGAGTACGACGGCTTATGCCAGCTATGCTTGCTTGCCTTTACTTTTATCATGCTATTTCTAGCATAGGATATTTATATGCATGCATGAAGTGCTTGATTTCCTAGGCTAGGCGCTTTCCTATATATGATTATAGTTCTAGCACCGAGCTAGGTTGCGTGCACCGAATTATGGCTTTTCGGTTGCCACCGAATTGCCTTCTACCGAATTCGGTAAGGATCTGTTCGGGACGCTTCGCGACCCGCGGAACCTTCGCATAACACCTGGTTACGGGGCCTTGTGTCGAGCCTATATATAGCCTTGTGTTGTACCCAGGTGCACATTCGATTCAATTCAATTCAATTTGAATCATCTTTTTTGAGCTCGATCCCAGATCCTCACACATGGTAGTCAGAGCGGGTTTACACGCGAGGTCTTCAACCGCTTAGTTCCGGCCTTTAAAAACAGCGGGGGCGACGACGAAAGTGCCGATACGGGTATGTAAAACCAGTTCCGCGCAATTTTTCGAAGTCCCCCTCGATTCGGTTTTCGAACACCCCTCAGATTTACTGGTGGAAAGGTTGGAGTTTCGACCGTTCGATCGAGTTTCATCTCAACGGCCCAAAGAATTTCGCCCAAAAAAGTTGGAATTTGGAGCGTCGGATCGATTTTCTCCTCAACGGCCAAGATCGGACGCGAATTTCGCCTAAGGGAGATTTACGCAACCAATAGAATTCGCGCTCGTCGATTCTACAGTCAACTTGACTCGCATTAAGTCGACCAGCACCTAGAATTCGATTATTTTCGTCGCTCATCTTCCTGTAAATCACCAAATGGAGGGCCAAGGCGACAACTACGCGACTACAAGCGACATCGCGAGCCTCCGCACCGACATGGAGCAGACGCAGGCAACGCTTCGTCGACTCGAGGCTTTTCTGACAAGCCAACCAGGGTTCGCCACCGCAGCAGCAGCGACCACAGCGACTACAGCACCAACAACTCCAGCAGCAGTGGCGACACTGACATTTCACGGACCAATGGCACCACTGTCGCCGAACCTCGAAACATCACGACCGAGGCTCCCGGAGGCGTTCGATCCAAGCGCGAAGGGATCCGACGTCCGGCAATTCGTGGCCACCCTCGAAATTTACTTCGATGCCATTGGCTGTTCGACCCCGCAACACGACGCAGCAAGGATTCGGCTCGCAGCGACACTGTTACGTGGACCGGCTCTCGAATGGATTTACTACACCGACGTAGCCCGCGGGGAGAAAACGTGGCAGCAGTTTTGGGCATATTTAATCGAGCGTTTCGAACCAATTAATACAACCTACATGGCGCGGTAGCAGATACACCGACACAAGCAATACAGTAGTGTAAGACAGTACACGCAGCAGATGGAGTTACTGTTCAACTGCATCACCGACTTGACCGAGGGCGAAAAAATCCAGGCGTACACCGAAGTATTAAAAATGGAGATTCGGCGGCAGGTGATTGCGGCGAATTACAACAGCTACAGAGACATCGTGCGTGCTGCCGAGCGATACGACGCGCTGACTCGAAGTCAACCCGAAACACGACGCTTCACGCCGAACCGTACATTTGGCACGGAGCGATCGGCACCCCCCACGTTCACCGAACCGATGGATATCGACAAAATGTGAATTTTGCGGTGCAGCAGGACATCAGTTTTTGTCGTGCTACAAAATGAAGAAAGCACGTGCGGCACTCCGGGACGGAAACAGTGGAGCACCCCCGAAGTAAAAAAATGGGAATCGCCAATAGCCGCGGATCGACCTGGCGATCGCGTAAAGATCCGAAAAACAGGAAAAGGCGACGACGTGGCGACTTCGGAGCGGGTGAAAAAAGGAGAAAATGATGGCGCGAATTTAAAACGTCACGACCGGCCGGCATCAGGGGAAATCGCCGAGGCGAATGGAGGCTCCGCGAAAAAAGATTCTGCACCGACCGGCAAACTCCAGTCGAACACCCACGAAAGTAAGAATTCGTTAAAGGTATCCTATAAAGATGCTCTAACGAAAAATATTGCTTCTCGTGGTTTACAAGCCTTCAAAAAATTCAGGGGAGGTCTAGAGGCCAAGAAAAAGCCTTTAGAAATTATTCAGGTACCTGAGAAGTTGGGCAAAGTACTACGGAGCGTAGAAAAGGGTCGTGCGTTCTGTGGAGTTAATATTCGCTCCCCGCAGCACAGTGTTAAGGCTCCCCGTCGCCCACAGGTGAAGCCTACACAGCTGCCAAGGCTTAGAGGAGACATCCAGGCTCAAGAAAAATTATACAAGCCTCCGAAAAATCCTCCTACCCCCCAGGTGAAGTTGGAAAGCGCTGAGTCAGGTATACGAAAAAGGGAAGGTATTAAGTTTGATGTACCGTATGATCCTATTAACAAGACCCTCTTTGGCTACTCAGCACAGCAGAAACCACTACTCCTCGAGGTGTTATGCAATGGGCGACGCCTCCAGGCACTGGTGGACAGTGGTGCATCTCACTCGGTGTGTGACAGCGGAGCATTGGAGAAAATTGGAGAGAAGGCAGAAGAGACCCAGTTTTCAGCAACCATGGTGGACGGTACGAAGCTTCCTATCCACGGCGAAGCATCACTGCA